CATCCTATCCCAGCGTTCTTCCTCGGACGGTAAGATGTATCCTTGCGTGTATTTTTCTCACCGTTTGTCTCCCACTGAATGCAACTATTATATTGGTAATAGAGAACCGCTGACAGTCAAGCTTACCTTGGAGGAATGGCGTCATTGGTTAGAAGGTTCGTTTCATTCATTCTGTTTTTCATGTTTCCAAATTAAAGCCCGTTTTTCATGCTGCCATTGATCCGCAAATCCCAGTTCCCCCACCGCCACGACTCGTAGATGGGGAACCTGTTTATTCGGTGAATCGTATTCTGGACTCTAGGCGGAGGGGACGCGGATTCCAGTACTTGGTGTACTGGGAGGGTTACGGTCCAGATGAGAGGAGTTGGGTGCCTGCAAGAGACATATTGGATCACTCTTATCGATGATTACAATCGTCAGGTAAGTTACTCTGGGAGCGCCAGGAGGTGCTCTTAGGGGAGGGGTTACTATCACGGTTCATGGGTCTGTGTGCTCATTTCTGTGTGTGTGGATGTTATCCGCTCCTTGTGCTCATCAGTGTTGCCTAGTTACCACACACCTGACGAGCTGATCAGAGCGGTCACAGGTGTAGCTCATCTGCACTGCCTATATCTGGCTGGCGTTTCTGTGGAGTGTTGTCAGATCGTTGTTGCTTATGTCTTGTCTGGTTCTCTGCCAGACCTTCTAGTTCCTGAGTTGATTCCCGTCTGTTATCTGTTCCCTGGAGGGTTTGGACTGCTCGGATTATTCGCTGCCTGAGCTGAGACTCTGCACTGCCGGGTTACCTGCACTTCTACTATTGATGTAGTTGGAGTTGTCTAAAAAACTACATTTTCACTCGCAATTGGAACTTGTATTTCTGTTTCATGACACCGGTAGGGTCGGGAAATGTTGAGACTGTCGAGTTCCAACTCCCCTCCGTGCAGGCGCAGCACATCAGGCAGTGAGGCGCAGAAGTAAAGCCCTCCCTCCCTTTCCAGTTGTGTTTGTCTTGGTGTGGAAGTGAGTGGTGATGAACAAAAGACTAAACGCTACCTGTGCCTCGAATTTAGAGCTAATTACCCAAAAGGCAATTATAGTTAACTTGTCTTGCTAACATCCATGACTCATGAGAGCTACATGATTCAGTTCACTGCATGATTCAGTTTATTAAAATGCGTTTAGAATAATGATGATCACAAAATTCAATATATGGGGACAGAAATGTATATTTTCATATAGTTAATCAGTATCACGCGAAGACTGACATTTTTTTTTTCCACCAAAATGCAGCATGATTACAAATGTGATATTGATTTAATACAGCAGTTCAATAAACACAAATTTAATATTAAGATACTTACGTTTTAGACACAATATTGTCTGTTTTTGTTCTATTTTGCCAACAAATATAATTCCAATTTGCATCTCTGAGCAACATGATGGTGTTTTGTTGCTGAAAGAATCAACCATTTAAATGATTCGTTCAGTCGCAATGACTCACTTATTAACAGCGACTTGCTGCCACCTACTGGCGGTTTTAATTTCACATTTAAAGTGTTTTGAACCGTATTCAACGTTTTGTTTAAAATATCAAAACGGTATGAATGCATTTGTAACTGCAGGTTAAATATATTTATGTCCTG